GAGGAGACCTGGCAGAGTAAAGATGTCGTCCGCGGCTACGCCTTGGCTGAGTACCATGCTGTCATTTACGACAAAGTGGCCGAAGAGTTGGAGAAGCAAGGCTTCGACTGCCAGTGCCTCGGAGGCGGACGCATCTCCCACCAAGGCCAAGCCAAGGAGATCAACATTTATGGCTACTCTGTAGGTTTCGGTCAAGCCAAACACTCCGTTTCCACTTAGAAATTGAAGGCTGCCTTTCCTGACTATGAGGTCACCTGGTCGGACGAAGGATATTGACTGTTACAGGATCTGGTCAGAGGCCTCCATGGCTCTATGGGTGTCTGCCCTGCTTCCCATCCCAACAGGGAGTGGACAGACGGAGAGGGAATGGGTGTCCATCCTCCTGTGGAGGGCAGGGGGGTCCCCTAGACCAAGTCAGACGGAATAAATGCATATCTCTTGTATCAAAAAAAAAAAAAAGAATACCATCCATCCATCTTGCCCTTCGTCAGCCCCTCTTCCTTTTTCCTTCCATTTTCCCCAGCATCATTGTCTTCTCCAAGCTTTCCTTTCTTCTCATGATGTGGCCAAAGGACTTCATCTTGGCCTCTACTATCCTTCCCTCCAATGAGCAGTCTGCCTTATTTCCTGAAGTATATGCTGGTTGGATAATAATAATAATAATAATAATAATAATAATAATAATAATAATAATCCTTTATTTATACCCCGCTACCATCTCCCGCAGGACTCGGTGCGGCTTACAAGAAGCCGAGCCCAAAATACATCAGAACAAAAACATAACCACAACAATACAATACAACAATAAATAATTCATAGCAAGGCAAAAACGATAACAAAATATCATGACGTAATTTAAAACCTGGCAGGGCCAAATGTAATGATTAAAATTTTTAAAAAATGCTGGGCATGTCCAGGTGAAAAAGGATGGATATTTGGGAGTAAGTGGGTATGCAGACAATTCTAACTCTCTCATAAAGTGCATTTGGGACATATTGCTTAGGATTCCTTAATCTGGGAAGGCACACTGGAACATCCATGTTTTCAAGCTCCTTCTGAAGACTGCCAATGTTGGGGCATGCCTGATGTCCTTAGGGAGGGCGTTCCAGAGTCTTGGGGCCACCACCAAGAAGGCCCTGTCCCTCGTTCCCACCAATCACGCTTGCGATGCAGGTGGGATCGTGTGCAGGGCCTCTCCAGATGAACGAAGAGATCGTGTGGGTACGTATACGGAAATGCGGTCACGCAGGTAGGTGGGTCCCAAACCGTTTAGGGCTTTGTAGGTAAGCACCTGCACCTTGAATTGGGCCCAGAAAATGAACGGCAGCCAATGGAGCTCCTTAAACAGGAGGGTTGACCTCTCTCTGTAAGGAGCACCAGTTAACAACCTGGCCGCCGCCCGGATCTTCTCAGGGTCCAAGGCACTCACAGAACTTTCCTCCAGCACCACAGTTCAAATTTTATTTATTTATTTATTTCCGTCACTTTTACCCCGCCCTTCTCACCCCCAAGGGGGGACTCAGGGCGGCTTACAGAGGAAGGCACAATTCGATGTCACATATATATACATATATAAAAGCAATTAAACAGTTACAAATTAAAAATTAAAATCATCAATACACAATAATTCAAAAGCATCTCTCTTCCTTTGCTCAACCTTCCTTATGGTCCAGCTCTCGCATTCATAGGTTACTACAAGGAATACTTAGGCAATCCCTCGTTGGACGAGTAGGATAGTTTTCCATGATCAGTATTCTTGTGGATCCGTAGGTGGCTGTGGAGCACTATTCTTGATCTGCATCTTCTCCCACAGTGATGGGAATTGGTTTCCAGGTGGAAGGTGGTCTCGGTCGGGGTTGGCTTGATGCGTCTTCCTCTTGGCACGTTTCTCTCTTTCACCCTCCATTTGTGCCTCTTCAAATTCTGCAGCACTGCTGGTCACAGCTGACCTCCAGCTGGAGTGCTCAAGGGCCAGGGCTTCCCAGTTCTCAGTGTCTATGCCAGAGATTTTAAGGTTGGCTTTGAGCCCATCTTTAAATCTCTTTTCCTGTCCACCAACATTCCGTTTTCTGTTCTTGAGTTCGGAGTAGAGCAACCGCTTTGGGAGACAAGGAATACCATTGCTCTAACTATGCAGATCCTTGTTGACAGTGTGATGTCTCTACTCTTCACTATTTTATCGAGATTGGTCATTGCTCTCCTCCCAAGAAGGAAATGTCTTCTGATTTTCTGGCTGCAGTCTGTGTCTGCAGTCATCTTTGCACCTAGAAATACAAAGTCTGTCACTGCCGCTACGTTTTCTCCCTTTCTCCTTCCATTTTTCCCAGCATCATTCTCTGCTCTAAGCTTTCCTGTCTTCTCAGTATGTGACCAAGAACTTCATCTTTGCTTCTAATATCCTTCCCTCCAGTGAGCAGCCAGGCATTATTTCCTGGAGGATAGACTGGTTGGACCTTCTTGCGGTCCAAGGCACTCTCAGAACTTTCCTCCAGCCCCACAGTTCAAAAGCATCTCTCTTCCTTCGCTCAGCCTTCCCTTTGGTCCAGCTCTCACATCCGTAGGTGACTACGGGGAATACCATTGCTCTAACTATGCAGATCCTCGTTGCCAGTATGATGTCTCTACTCTTCACTATTTTATCGAGATTTGTCATTGCTCTCCTTCCAAGAAGTAAATGACTTCTGATTTCCTGGCTGCAGTCTGCGTCAGCAGTAATCTTTGCACCTAGAAATACAAAGTCTGTCACTGCCTCCGCGTTTTCTCCTTCTATTTGCCAGTTATCAATCTGGTTGCCATCATTTTGGTTTTTTTGATGTTTAGCTGCAACCCGGCTTTTGCGCTTTCTTCTTTCACCTTGATTAGAAGGCTCCTCAGCTCCTCCTCGCTTTCGGCCATCAGAGTGGTGTCATCTGCATATCTAAGGTTGTTAATATTTCTTCCAGCAGTTTTCACCCTAGCCTTGCATTCATCAAGCCCTGCACATCACATGATGTGTTCTGCATACAAGTTGAATAGGTTGGGTGAGAGTATATAACTCTGCCATACTCCTTTCCCAATCTGGAACTCTGCCCCGGAATGTGGTGGAGGCTCCTTCTTTGGAAGCTTTTAAACAGTGGCTGGATGGCCATCTGTCAGGGGCAGAGAGTTCCAGTGCTGAACGGCTCTCACAGTCAGGAAGTTCTTCCTCATGTCCAGATGGAATCTCCTTTCTTGTAGTTTGAAGCCATTGTTTCGTGTCCTAGTCTCCAAGGAAGCAGAAAACAAACTTGCTCCCTCCTCCTCCCTGTGGCTTCCTCTCACATATTTATACATGGCTATCATATCCACTCTCAGCCTTCTCTTCTTCAGGCTAAACATGCCCATCTCCTTAAGCCGCTCCTCATAGGGCTTGTTCTCCAGACCCTTGATCACTTTAGTCGCCCTCCTCTGGACACATTCCAGCTTGTCAATATCTCTCTTGAATTGTGGTGCCCAGAAGATAGATAGGTAGATGCACACACACGTATACACAAATATACACACACATATATACACACATAAAACACATATACCCAAACTGGGCCACAGCAACGCATGGCAGGGGACGGCTAGTAGTACAATATAATATATACTATTATATTATACTATATTATACCACAATATATATATCTATATAATGTACTACCAGCATATAATAAAATATAATAATAATTTAAGCATTATTAAAAGTAGATTAAGAATTATGGTATTAAAATATAAAGGAATCCATTAATGATAATGGCAAATAAACACCTAATTATTAAACACTGGCAGAAAGCTTCCCCAAAGTTGGCAGCACTCACCTATCCTGAGCAGAGACCACAACAAACTGCCTGCTTCCCATATTAGTCAAGAGAGACCCCTGATTGGGCGCGGCCTATTGATTGACACCGCCCGCGGCCACTAAGAAATCGAAAGCCCAACCCACTTTCTTGCTTGGCCACGCCCCCTTTTCCTCTTTGGACTCACAGTCTCTTTTTTTATTACCTTTCCCTAGAACTGAGACAAACTGCGCCTCTGATTGGGCGCCGCCTATTGATTGACACTAAAAAATCGGAAGCCCCGCCCACTTTCTTGCTTGGCCACGCCCACTTTCCCTTTGGACTCACAGTCTCTTTCCCTAGCGCTGACTGCCTGCTTCCCATATTAGTCAAGCGAGAACCCTGATTGGGCGCCGCGTTTTGATTGACACTAAGAAATGGGAAGCCCCACCCACTTTCTTGCTCGGCCACGCCCTCTTTTCCCTTTGGACTCACAGTCTCTTTTTGTATTAACTTTCCCTAGCGCTGCCTGCCTGCTTTCCATATTAGTCAAGCGAGACCCCTGATTGGGCGCCGCCTATTGATTGACACCGCCCGTGGCCAGTAAGAAATAGGAAGCCCCACCCACTTTCTTGCTCGGCCACGCCCCATTCCCTTTGGACTCGCGTTGACTGCCTGCTTCCCATATTAGTCAAGCGAGACCCCTGATTGGGCGCCGCCTATTGATTGACACTAAGAAATGGGAAGCCCCACCCACTTTATTGCTTGGCCACGCCCCCATTCCATTTGGACTCGCGCTAACTGCCTGCTTCCCATATTAGTCAAGCGAGACCCGTGATTGGGCGCCGCCTATTGATTGACACTAAGACATCGGAAGCCCCACCCACTTTATTGCTTGGCCACGCTCCCATTCCCTTTGGACTCGCGCTGACTGCCTGCTTCCCATATTAGTCAAGCGAGACCCCTGATTGGGCGCGGCCTATTGATTGACACCTCCCGCGGCCACTAAGAAATCGGAAGCCCAACCCACCTTCTTGCTTGGCCACTCTTTTTTTTCCCTAGCGCTATCTGCCTCCCTTATTAGTCAAGCGAGACCCCTGATTGGGCGCCGACTATTGATTGACACTGCCCGCGGCCACTAAGAAATCGGACGCCCCGCCCACTTTCTTGCTTGGCCACGCCCCCTTTCCCTTTGGACTCACACACTTTTTTTTTTATTACCTTTCCCTAGCGGCGCCGTGATTGGTTAAGGCGGCGTTCTATCCCCGCCCTACCGCAGCCTCGTTTTGGTTCCTGTGTCAATCACAGAGGCTGGGCGGGGAGGGAGGGAGGAAGCGTAGCGGCCGCTCTATCCCTTCTCTGCTTGAGTTCCCCACAACGGCGTCTCGCCTCCTCGCCGGACCGAGCCCGCTGTTTCCCCACAGCGCCCCCTGCCTGCGTTTCGCGTCCACGGCGGCCTCCCTCCCCTCCGCTCGCCTTCTTCATCCATCCATCCTCTCAGGATCCAAGATGGCGGCGGAAGCGGCGGCTCCTCCATCGCCTCCTCCCCCTCCGCCGCCGGGAGGCTGCCCGGCTTCGTGCCCCAGCTTCGCCGTGGTCTGCTCCTTCCTGGAGCGCTACGGGGCCCTCCTCGACCTGCCCGAGATGCCCTTCCCGGAGCTGGAGCGGGCCTTGCGCGGGAGCGGCGCCCAGCAGCAGGGTGAGCCAGCGCGGGGGCGGACTAGGCCGCGAAGCCAAACCCCACCCCCAGCGGGACTCAGCGCGGCCTGGACGGGGGTTGGCTTCTCCAGCAGGCCTGGGCCAACTTGGGCCCTCCCTCCAGGGGTTGGACTCCAATTCCCATCATTCCTAACAGCCTCAGGCCCTTTCCTTCCCCCTCAGCCGCTTAAGCGGCTGAGGGGGAAAAGGAGAGGGCCTGAGGCTGTTAGGAATGATGGGAATTGGAGTCCAACCCCCTGGAGGGAGGGCCCCAATTTACCCAGGCCTATTCTCTATCATACAATATATTGGGAGGTGGGATCCTAAGGTAAATGTTTGGTTTCCATATTATTATCCTGCTCAGAAATGTTTGGGATTGGAAGGAAGTGTTTTTGTATTTTGGGTGAGTGGGATAGTAAGGGTGAAATGTTCTGGAAGTATCTTGGATTTTGGGTTTTATTTCCTCCACATCATGAGGTATTCTGGAGATGGGACCCAACTCTAAATACACAGCCTTTGTTTATGTTCCATTTGTCTGGAGTATTCCTTCTCTGAAATGTTGGGGAGCAGAAATGTTTTGAATTTTGGGGTCATTGCCTCCACATCATGAGGTATTTTGAGATAATAATTACATCTCCCTGATGAAATGTTCTGGAAATATATTGGATTTTGGGATATTTGCATCCACATCATGAGGTATTTTGGAGATGGGACCCAACTCTAAACACACAGCCTTTGTTTATGTTTCATATATCTAGAGTATTCCTTCCCAGAAATGCTTGGGATCAGAAGTATTTTACATATTTGAGATATTAGTTACATCTCCCTGATGAAATGTTCTGGAAGGATAATGGGTTTTAGACCCAAGTCTAAATATGTAGCCTTTGTTTATGTTTCATGTATATGGAGTATTTATTTTCTGTAATGTTAGGGATTCTGGAATATTTGCATCCGCATCATGAGGTATTTTGGAGGTGGGACCCAAGTCTAGACACACAGCCTTTGTTTCAGTTTCATGTGTCATGTATGCCTTCTCTCAGTTGTTAAGGATTCTGGGATATTTGCATCCACATCATGAAACATTTTGGAGGTGGGACCCAACTCCAAATTATTATTATTATTATTATTAACTTTATTTGTACCCCGCTAGCATCTCCCGTAGGACTCGATGCGGCTTACACAGCCTTTGTTTATGTTTCATGTATGTTAATGTTTATGTTTATGTTTCATGTATGTGGAGTATTTATTTTCTGTAATGTTAGGGATTCTGGAATATTTGCACCCACATCATAACCGCTCTGAGTCGCCTAATGGCTGAGAAGAGCAGTATACAAATAAAATAAATAAATAAATCATGAGGTATTTTGGAGATGGGACCCAACTCTAAATACACAGCCTTTGTTTATGTTTCATATATCTGGAGTATTCCTTCCCAGAAATGTTTGGGATCAGAAGTGTTTTATATATTTGAGATATTAGTTACATCTCCCTGATGAAATGTTCTGGAAGTATATTGGATTTTGGGATATTTGCCTCCACATCAAGAGGTATTTTGGTGGTGGGACCAAGTCAGTATACACAGCCTTTGTTTATGTTTCATATATTTGGAGTATTCCTTCTCTGAAATGTTGGGGAGCAGAAGTGTTTTGGATTTCAGGATCATTGCCTCCACATCATGAGGTATTTTGGATGTGGGACCCAAGTCTAAGCACAGCCTTCCTTTATGTTTATGTATATGGGATCAGAAATATTTTATATATTTGAGATAGAAGTTACATCTCCCTGATGAAATGTTCTGGAAATATATTGGATTTGGGGATTTTTACATCCACATCATGAAATATTTTGGAAATGGGAACCAAGTCTGAACATAGTCCTAGTTTATGTTTCATTTATGTGGAGTATTCCTTCCCAGAAATGTTTGGGATCAGACATGTTTTCTATATTTGAGATAGTAGTTACATCTCCCTGATGAAATGTTCTGGAAGTATATTGGATTTTGGGATATTTGCCTCCACATCAAGAGGTATTTTGGTGGTGGGACCAAGTCTAAACACACAGCCTTTGTTTATGTTTCATATATTTGGAGTATTCCTTCTGTGAAATGTTGGGGAGCAGAAATATTTTGGATTTTGGGGCAATTGCCTCCACACCATGAGGTATTTTGGAGATGGGACCCAAGTCTAAGCACAGCCTTCCTTTATGTTTATGTATACGGGATCAGAAATATTTTATATATTTGAGATAGTAGTTACATCTCCCTGATGAAATGTTCTGGAAATATATTGGATTTTGGGATATTTACATCCACATCATGAAATATTTTGGAAATGGGAACCAAGTCTGAACATAGTCTTGGTTTATGTTTCATTTGTGTGGAGTATTCCTTCCCAGAAATGTTTGGGATCAGACATGTTTTCTATATTTGAGATAGTAGTTACATCTCCCTGATGAAATGTTCTGGAAGTATATTGGATTTTGGGATATTTGCATCCACATCATGAGGTATTTGGAAATGGGACCCAAATCTAAGCACAGCCTTTGTTTATGTTTCATGTATATGGAGCATTTATTTTCTGTAATGTAAGGGATTCTGGAATATTTGCGTCCACATCATGAAATATTTTGGAGATGGGACCCAAGTCTAAACACATAGCTTTTGTTTATGTTTCATGTATCATGTATTTCTTCTCTGAATTGTTAGGGATTCTGGGATATTTACATCCACATCATGAAATATTTAGGAGATGGGAACCAAGTCTGAACACAGCCTTTGTTTATGTTTCATGTATGGAGTATTCCTTCTCTGAAATTTTTGTGATCAGATATGTTTTATATATTTGAGATAGTAGTTACATCTCCCTGATGAAATGTTCTGGAAGGATATTGGATTTTGGGATATTTGCATCCACATCATGAGGTATTTTGGAGATGGGACCCAACTCTAGATACACAGCCTTTGTTTATGTTTCATATATCTGGAGTATTCCTTCTCTGCAATGTTGGGGAGCAGAAGTGTTTTGGATTTTGGGATCATTGCCTCCACATCATGAGGTATTTTGGAGGTGGGACCCAGTCTAAATACATAACCATTATTTGGTTTCATATATCTGGAGTATTCCTTCTCTGAAATGTTGGGGAGCAAAAATGTTTTGGATTTTGGGATCATTGCCTCCACTTCATGAGGTATTTGGAGGTGGGACCCAAGTCTAAATATGTAGCCTTTGTTTATGTTTAATGTATGTGGAGTATTTATTTTCTGTAATGTTAGGGATTCTGGGATATTTACATCCACATCATGAAATATTTTGGAGATGGGACCGAAGTCTAAACACACAGCCTTTGTTTCCCTTTCGTGTGTCATGTATTCTTTCTCTCAATTGTTAAGCATTCTGGGATATTTGCATCCACATCATGAAATATTTTGGAGATGGGAACCAAGTCTGAACACAGTCTTGGTTTATGTTTCATATATGTGGAGTATTCCTTCCCAGAAATGTTTGGGATTAGAAGTGTTTTATATATTTGAGATATTAGTTACATCTCCCTGATGAAATGTTCTGGAAGTATATTGGATTTTGGGATATTTGCATCCACATCATGAGGTATTTTGGAGATGGGACCCAACTCTAGATACACAGCCTTTGTTTATGTTTAATGTATCTGGAATATTCCTTCTCTGAAACGTTGGGGAGCAGAAGTGTTTTGGATTTTGGGATCATTGCCTCCACATGAGGTATTTTGACGGTGGGACCCAAGTCTAAGCACAGCCTTCCTTTATGTTTTATGTATATGGGATCAGAAGTATTTTATATATTTGAGATAGTAGTTACATCTCCCTGATGAAATGTTCTGGAAGTATCTTGGATTTTGGGATATTTGCATCCACATCATGAAATATTTTGGAGATGGGACCCGTCTAAACACACAGCCTTTGTTTATGCTTCATATATGTGGAGTATTCCACATATATGAAAGATATTTGGTTGCCTTGGTGGATGATCTATGTGGAGAGCTTGATAGAGGGATAGTGTGACTCTGTTAACTCTCCTGGACCTCTCAGAGGCTTTTGATACCATTGATCATGGTATCCTTCTGGAGAGGCTCGAGGGGATGGGGCAAGGAGGCACTGTTCTACAGTGGTTCTGGTCCTTCTTCATGGACTGGTCCCAGAAGGTGATATTGGGGGAGTCCTGCTCAACCTCTTGGCCTGTGTGCTGTGGAGTCCCGCAGGGCTCATCTTTATCCCGGATGTTATTCAACATCTACCTGAAACCGCTGGGAGAGATCATCTGGAGTTTTGAGCTTGGTATCATTTGCATGAGGATGATGCCCAACTCTACTGCTCCATTTCATCTGATGCCAAGGAAGCATCAGATGAAATTGAACATTGTCTGAGGGAAGGGATGGACTGGATAAAAGTGAACAAGTTGAAACTCAATCCAGACAAGACGGAGGTACAACTGGTGTCATGGAAGACGGATTTGGTAACAGCATTTCAACCTGAGTTGGATGGGATTATACTCCCCCTGAAATCCCAGATGCGCAGTCTAGGGGTCATTATAGATTCTGCTTTAAACCAGGAAGCCCAGGTGCCAGCGGTAACTAGGTTGGCCTTCACACAGTTAAGCTTGTGCGCCAACTGCACCCCTTTCTGAAGACATTGTATCTGGCCTCAGTGGGACATGCGTTGGTTACATCCAGATTTGACTATTGAAATGCGCTCTATGTAGGTCTGCCCTTAAAAAGCGTCCAGAAATTACAGTTCATCCAAGGAACTGTAATTGGACGAACTGAGAGGTACTAACTTCAGGGAGTGTACTACGCCTATCCTGAAGCAGCTCCATTGGTTCTCTGTCTAGTTCTGGACTCAATTCAATGTGCTGGTTATCGCCTATAAAGCCCCATGTCCCCGATACACCCCAGGGTGCTAACTTAGATCTAGCAGGGGGACACAAATTTGCACATGAGCCCCCACTAGTATGTGTTTACGCTTAACGA